GAAGAACCGCCGTGCCGACGACTGACATTGGCGCAACCCCACTGTCGGAAGGGTTAGGTGCACGAAGCAGGCTTCGCCCCCTCGTAGAGACGATGCGTTTGCCATTGTACTCTGTACGTTCGACGGCCCGGGCGAATTTGTCACTGCAGAAGTTGCCCCCTCCGGCGCCGCTGTCCAGAAGCACGGTGGCACTGTAGCCCAGACGGTGGCGTATCTTGTTCCACAGGCAGGCGGTGACCCAGGTCTGGTGGGAGCCGCGGGAGGGCCCCGACATAGCGGCCATGGGAGCCACAGCGGTGACGGTCATGCGGGTTGCCTCCGCGAATTGCCTCCCGCCCGCGATGGTTAGGTGTGTTCCCCGGAGAGTCCCTTGGAGAGGTACCATCCGGGGCGCACTCTCAGGTGTGTTCGCGGCTGTTCCCGGCCGCCGAGTGGGCAGGGGCGGGTTAGACCACGCCGAGAGTGCTTCCGCGGCGTAGAGGAGGTTCTCGTCGAAGTCTCCAAGAGCCGCAAGGGCCGGCGGCGGCGGGGGGCCACGTGGGTAGGCCTTGAAGGGGATGGGCGTCTCGGTGTGCAGGCAGGGGCAGTGGTGAACCTCGACCATGCGCCCACATTGCGACTGCTGTTGAAGCATACTCTGTGCGCGCGAATGTAGGCCTGGATGTCCTTAGGGTCGGCATCAGGGGAGGGCGCGTCCGGCGGAAGCTGGGGTGCTTGCGTGGGTTGCCCCCGCGTCGCGGAAGGTGGTAGCTATTCGGTGGCGCGGCGGGGTCGCCTGGAGTCTCTCGATGGGGCGTCCGACGCCGCGGCGGGGCGGGGGTCGCGGTCACGCTTGCGGGGTTCACTCCCGAGTGGCGCCGATGCATAGCGGCCAGCTCTCTGGGCGCGGTCGCAACGCCCCGAGCCCCGTCCATTGAAGCGATCTGTCTTCCCCCGCTGCGCGGCCCGTGCACCCTCGAAGGCCACCAAGCTGGATCGTCCTCGCCAGAATCGGACGACGAAGGCATGTGGTCCTCCGCAGGCGGCCTGGCGTAGTCCACGCCTTGCATGGCGAAGACAGAACCGGACTGCCAAATCTGGCGCGAGAAGGTGTCTTCTCCCGGCGGTAGTCGCAGCGACTTCGTGTGCAAGGCGGCCATGTCCGTCGGTTGGGGCGCGCGTAGAATTGGGAGTTCTCGCTCAGGGTGATGACGAAGCTATGGTAGCAGTCGTAGCAGATCTGCCCGCGCCGCCACATCTGCGACGAACCCAGCGCGTGCGTGTGGATGGGGTACTGCTCGAGCACCGCCCGGTTGTTTCCCATGACACCGACGAGGTGGGCGAGAAAAGGCACCTGGTCGACTTGCGGGAATCACATAGTGACGGCGCGGTTAAGCAGGTGGTGGAGATCCTCGACGGTGAGTATCATCCAGAAGCAGTCCTCCTCGGCGAGGTACGGCCGGTCGGGCAGCACCCGCCGCGCGGGCGAGCTGGACGAGGCGGCTCAGACCGGTCTCCCACGACTCGCCATCCTTGAGGCGGATGCGGTCAAGGGCCTGCCTCTCGTGGCTCCCGGAAAGCCCCTGGAGGGCAACCTCGGACACGGGCAGCCGAAGGGGGTCCGTGACGGTGAAGTGCTCGAATTTGACCCCGGCCATGCCACCGTTGAGGTTGTGGACCTGAACGTCATATCCACGGGTGATGGAGGCCGTCACGGCCATGGTGGCGGGTAGCATGCCGTACAAGATGCCTAGGCGGAAGGTGGTGCGGTCGTCCGGCCAAGGCTTCATCACGTTCCAAGCACCGGCGGCGGCAGTCACGTCCTCCTCAAGCTTCATGACGCCCATGCCCGCCATCCTGAAGGCGTCGGAGAGGCGATTGCAGAACAGGGATGGGTCCTGGCGGTGGGTCAGGTCCGTTTGCGATGTGAGCGGCAGTCCCTGGAAGATCGGCATTCCGACAGCTTTGGGTGAGCCCCCCATCATCTGTATGATTGTAGAGGAGATGCTGTCGCGGTGCTTGTGGTTCTCCAGGCGGACAGGTAGGCTTGGCCCGCATTGGCGAGGGCCGCAGGGGGCTCCACGTACACATGGTGAGGCGTGGCGGCCCCGACGTACGGCTGAGGTGGCACATGCCCATGCTGCGGTGGGCCGTACACTCTGTGGGGCCGGTGTCCCCGGCACCCATGCGGTAGGGGCAGCCCCGGGTAGGAGGGCTGGCGCGCCGGCGGCTGGTATGCCGGCTGCTGGTAGTGGTGCTGCCCCGGCAGCTGTGGGTACGGCGCCGGGCGCTGCGGGGGTTGCAGCTCCTGCTGATACTGTTGGTGTTGCTGCTGCGGCAGTGGCGGCTTTTGTCCCCCAACGGTTGTGCCCGGAGTTCGATTCTCCGTACGCGTACCATGTTCCAGAGAAGGGCTATACGACGTTATCACCAGGTTATCCACTCTCACCTGCGCAGATCATTAGCTATTCTCTTTGAGTTCGAGTGTAGACACATGCCAAGCGTTCCGTGATCAACACAAGCAAGCAGGCAGCGGTACTCCAATTATGCATGCGGTTCCAACTCCTCCAATACTTTATTATCCGGTCTGGCATGCAGGGTCAGGCGTGTTTATCACTCACAGTTGCGATAACGATCAGGAGCGCTCAGATCAGGTTCGATCACAAAAGGCTTCGTTCTCAGTTTCCGGACACAAAGGTCACTGACGGCTGGGGGCAGCCGTCAGTTGGAGGAACCGTTTCATCATCGCGCGGGGAGTGGAGCCAATAGCAATTATTCCGTTGGTTCCAGGTTACATCTGTCGAGAACCCTCCTCCGGGCACTTATGGGTAATGTCCCAGTGCCCATCATAGGGACGTGTACTCGGACACTTGTTCCTTGCATCACAAGTGCCCGTCATCACACTATTTAAAACCGGTGCATACGGCCGTCCAGAGCACTTGTCAGATGTTGTCACCGACCGTTTTTCCCGGCCGGATTTTGGTGAGCTAGCAGACAAAGATCGCCTCGTCAATGACTGACGATGGTATTTGCCTCTAGTTAGGAAATCCCATATCTTCTGGACGACCAGGCAGAGGGCGAGTTGCACGCCTTTCGCTTACACGTCTACACTTGCGTTAATGCGAGGACTTACGCCCTCTGCCACTTTTGGTATCGCTCGCGCGCTTTACTTGTTCGGGAGCTCCTACCAAAACTACTGGTGGATTGGGGTGGGTATCAGTTATCGTTGTTGGTGGATCAGGCGATGTCTGGAACATCAGTCCGGCAAAACTACGCTGAAAAAACAATTCCCTAGCCGATCCTGACGACCCCTCCACCTTTCTGTGCCAGGTGCAGCAATCAGTGTTCACATTCGACCCTCTGCACGACCCCTTGAGGTTTCTCGAATATTTCGCTTTTCCCTGACCAGGTCAGCGTCCAACGAAGATGCGCGAAAGTACAGTCGATGTTCTCTGAACAACAACTACATGCCTGTTTGAGCGTGGTCCCTTGAATTTTTCAGACAACAGGTTAATTATTGAACAACAAGGGAATACAAAAAAAAACATACCAATCCCAGCTTTCCGATTTGCCGATAGCGTGGTCGTGGGGAGGGGACGAACTATCGCCAGAGGTGATAATAATCTAAATGTGTTTGGTATCATTTCCCGAGATCCATCCCCATTGCGTAAGCCTCGCATGAAGGCACTGCCACGATGGAGCTGAGGGGACCAAGATCCACATCATCATCAGCTCCCCCTGTCGTATAGCGCGAAGGGGACAGTACAGTAGATCTTGACTGCCTAGAGTGTCATCCGGGCAGCGCACAACAAGTCAAGAGTCAATATAGAATATTCCGGAGAAAGTATGTAGCCACCTTACGACTATGAGAACATCTTGAGATTTGTACCAAGATGGAGCACGAACAACGAGCACGGTGTTGCAAAAGGGCGAGCGCAAACGGGCTGCCCTTGTACTGGGACAGCTCCTCCTTCATATTCTCGAAGTCGGTCTGTTGAGAAGCAAGATGACCACTAGATAGACTTGTGGAGTTACAATAGACCACTTAATTTTTTTGTCAGCGGTCCTTTCGACAGTACTCTCTCGGGATGACCGCCCTGTCGATGACAAATTCCTGTACTTGGACCTTCCTTCCGACATGCCCGGGGCGGATGCCAAGCGCAGAGTCCGGTAGCTCGTTGTAAACCGTGCGCGAACCCGCACAAGGTCAACGACATGCCGCCGGTTTCGCCAGCCGGACTCACGAGAGAGGATTTGTCAAATCCTAAGAGCAGTCGTATAGTCTACACGTCGATTTCTCCGCCATTGGAGTCACCACAGACGAAGTTTCCTTCGGCTCGAGGATGAGAAAATCACTCAGGACACCACCAATCGGTTCGTGGTGGAGGTTAGTTGTGTTATCGCCGTCTATGAAAGAACACCACCGAAAAGTCCTTCTGCGCCCGTCTTGCGAACGTGAAATGCATCGTTCAAACACTCTCGAAAACAAGTTGGGCTGGAAGCCCCAACTGTGACGAGATGTGACGACATCTGAACCGGGTTCAGTGTGGAGCTAGTCCGACCACTGTGTGCAGGTTGGAGCCGCTTCGCTTGTTAAGTCTGTTCCCTTCCTTGTCCTTCCTTTCTCTCTCAGTCGCTCGCCATCGCTCACTCCCAGGCAACACTGAGCAAGGGGGAACGCCTGCACATTGCTTGCTACTGCTAGTAACCATTGTACCGGTACCTGCCTAAAGTCGGAATACCAGGAATCTGGGCAGGTGGTCGGTATATTCCTGAAATATATACCCGCCCGTGCAAGGGGACACAAAAAAACATTTCCTGGACCACACTCCACTTTTTCATTTTGGGGCTTCCGAGGGGAGGGAGCGGGGGGGGGGGGGGGTATATCTCTTGATGTACTAAATCATATATGAACAACGACTCCACACTATTTCCTATAGTTAACCAAGTCAACCAGTTTATGCACTGCAGCGTAGTCTGCGCTTTAGGCAAGGTTACGTCGCTTGAACCGTTACCTGGTGATGCCTGATCCATCTGGCAGCCTCGGCAACGTAGGTAGTCGAGCTAAGCACACCACAAGGCTCTGCCATGAACGCCCGAGGTGAGCCCTTGGGTTAGCTACGAAGCGACTTGCTGTCATTGCTGAACCTGTAAACCGTTTCGCTATGACGAGAACCCTGGTTCACTCTAGCAACTTCGACGTGAAGGAACTAGATGATGTCGGTGCTGCGGTTTCGATCAAAGAGATGTACAGCAAATACCCGGACTACCAAAAAACATCTCGTCGTTTAAACGACACGTTTAACCACAACAACGTGGCCAGCTGGCTAGATGGAGGCCAAGACAAGGATGTCCCCGGGAACTGTGACACTCAAGACGTTAAAGTGGCCGACTGCTGGACGGAGGAGTGGTCGGAGGCTGTTGTAATCTTGAAGCTTCACCCGGACTTCTCCGACTCGGAAGTGACTATGTCCGATACCTCGGAGAAGGAGGGCATCATGATGTTCAAGCCTTTCGTGTTAGACTAACGTAGCTAGAGCGTGCTTGAGCGCCGTGTGGCGTGGCTGTTCGGTTGTCACGGTTGCTTTTCCAATGAGCCCGTACACGAATCCTAATTCCAACGCACCACACCCTTGGTTCTTCTGCCTCCAACTGTAGACCCGAAGCGCCAATGCCCTGCATTAAGTCCGTCGACGACTCCGAAAAGGACCACAGCTTGGGCGACAACGCCGAGCAGGATGCTGTTAGCACTAGGGGCACGCCAACTACACAGGTCGATAATGACGAGGGTATGCTTGACGAGGTGCTGGAGAACAACGACCTAGAAACGGAGCACTCCCGGTATCTCGACGTGGACGGGAAGAAGGTCAGTTCGCTTGAGATCGTGCTATATTCAGGACATCCGTGACGTACTCGTACTCCATATTGTGCTGTCCGCCTCTGGGGATCTGTCCAACTTTCATACAATAGATTAAACCCGCCTCTCTCCACTTCGTAAGGGAGAACCCATCGGATTCTAAGGGATTCACAGAGCCGTGATGAAACGCAATGGGCTGGATTTGAACAGAGACTTCGGAACGTTGAGTTGATACCGATGGCGTTTGAAATGATGCCAACGTAACCACAGGTGCACAAGGCATCAGCCGCACACATCTTTACCGGACTTATTCCCACACCGGTTGGAAGGACAGGGTACTTCGCGTGAGGGGGTACTCTTCGACCAACAGCGTCTCCGGTAGTATCGCCAACGATGACTTTGTTCGGTGCATGTCGGTGACCCTTTCGCCACACTTGTGAAACTGCCCGGGCGGCGTAATGCATCGACCACCTATGCACTAAATAGGCGTTCTTACGGCAAATGCTCCACCCGACTCGGACGACCGGGCCGGCGGGGTTGGGGGGGCCACCGTGACGGGGAAGCTCATGGTTTAGACTGGGGGGCTCGTGGATGGGACAGGCGAATCGTTCGAGTGGAAGGATCGGGTGCTGGATGTCCACACGTACACCTGCCGTACGAAGCTGATAGTCGAGCTGGACCCAGACATGACCGATGCGTTAACATACGCGTTTACAACGGAGGGATTATCGGGCGTACGAGACACACTGGTTTGGACGACAGCGGAACTGCAAGGGTGGAATGCCTTGCCGACCCTTCGAAAGACTACCTCCGGGAAGACCCTCCCTCTCCCAATACACGCTGATCTCATCCGCAATCCCAACCAGACCAACCAGACGGTCGAGGCTGGAGTGTCTTGAGATCAACATCACGAGAATGCGGATATCGCGGGGCACATCCTTGAGAAGGTGGGTGGGATGTGCAAAATGGCGTACGTAGTACTACATGAGGAAAGCATACAACATGCTCGCGCATACGACTTTAGCCATCATCGCTGATCATTTTCTTGCGCGTGTACGATACTGAAACGTACCTACGCAGGACTTGACGGGGAGGGGCATTTGCGGTTTCTGTGGTCAAGACGAGGGTTGCAACTCCTGGGTGAACACACCCCGAGTTGGAAACGCAGCCCCACGGTTTTATTCCCGATTGCCTTTGGCTCCCAGATCCGCCAAGGACGAAGGTTCCTTCGTCTCGATATCCCTTAGTTCGGCAAAGAAACTTACGGAGAACATGCCGTGTACCAATGTGCCGATGGAGTGCATATTCTGTAACCGATGGCAATGGCAATACTCTATGAGTCGCCATGTTGACGAATTACACGCCGCGGACGCGAAACTGAGGAAGACCGACTCGATAGGTCGACAGTTTCTGGAGGATATTCTTGTGAGCGAAGACGAGAAGAAAGCTGTGGGTGCAATGCTCGAAAAGGATCTAAAACGAATGGGTGGACCCGTGGTGCACACAAAACCAAGGTGGTACTTCGTGGGAACACCAAGGGAAGAACTGGGGCTAAAGCCAAGGGTGGCAAAGGAAAAGGTCGACGGGACACCCGCAGCGAATCGAGTGATTCTTCCAGCGAGTCGAGCGATGAAGAAGAAGAAGAAGAAGAAGAAGAAGAAGAAGAAGAGGAGGAGGAGGAGGAGAGGAGGACGAGGAAGAAAACGAAGAAA